TCAGTTCCTGCAGTGTCGTTCGTGAAGTGCGTGAGGTTGTTCTAACGAACAGAATGAGCCGTATGTATGTTTCATTGTAGAGGGTGAAATACGATTTATTCGTAGCCTTCCTAAATGATTCTCTTTGGCAACTATAAGCAAAGGGATGGCATAATACGCCAGAAATCTCAATAAAAATGATTTCTAATGATGTAGCATGGAACGTTCTTAATGAGCAAAATACAGTGTTGGTTGCGAATGCTATGGGCTTTGTTATATTTCGGGATGATAGCAATTCATTGCAGTGAGTTCAACAATCAACGCTTACAATTAGGAATCCGCGTCACTTATTGTGCGTTGCTTGCACTTCCATTCAGCCGTATTACGGTCATTTCAAAATTTAATTCAATTTTTATTTGTTGTCCTGTTTCTAGCTCAAGATCATGATGCGACCTCTGAGGCCAAAGGCAATTCATGTTTCTCATATTGTTCCTTCAGTGATAACCGAAACGCTGTTCTAGAAACATTGCTTTCCTCTGCTGAAAAATGGATGCATCACGATTTTACCGAAAAGGAATGACAACAACTGACAAAAAATCCATTAATCAGCCTCAATAATTTTTTAAATTCATGATTCAGGACAAAGAAAAGATTGTTGATGATGCAATGGTCTTACAATTCTGAATCATGAATCAGAAAATTAGATGATTCCACTGTGACGCGATTACATTGTTAATGAACGTACGCGATTAAAACTCACGTCTCCTCTGTCAAACTCATCACCACCACTTTTCAAAAGCTGTCAAATACCACAAAATTCAAAACGCAATAAAACGTTAACACCTCGGTACAAGAAACAGCCCTTCATTAAAAAATGGCAAGATGACCTTCCCACAAGTGATTCGCAAATTGAGATGCAAGATAGCTGCGATCCTTCTCTGGATTCAACATCGGTCTTCCATTCCAGCAAAAATAAACACAGAAGTAAAAAGTTTGATCATTGAATGAAAGAATTCACTGCACCGTTACCGGTCTCAAGCTCGAATGAGAAAATGACAGGGTAGAAAACCGTGACAAGGTACCCGTAAAACGTGACCGCATGCTCCTTGTCGTCATGACACTATCAGAGATTATATCGTCTGAGTCCTAGCTCAGATTACAAAAAGCCTCGTAGATTGTTCGAGAACTGAGGCAGACTGTGAAAATTGGAGCCCACAAGCTTCTTCACGCAAAGAGGAATAAAATCCCGCTGACAGCTGCCAGAGATCGACGAATTGAAGACGAAGAAACCAGTCAGCAACGGAATCTTCGCCGTTCTGAACGGAGCAGGCAGACACCGCGATTCCACTATGGCACGTTAGATAATATTCCGCAGGAATGAGAGTGACAGTCAGAGCACATAGTCAGAGATTAAAGCCTCTTCTCCCTCAACGGCAAAAGAAAAAGGTAGTTAATAAGGACTCAAGGTTCCGACTGGATATAGTCAGACTATCGTCAGTAAAAGTTTGGGATAAGAAATTCTCAACCCCAGAGAGTGGAAGCTATTCTACGCAAACGATAACACAACGACACGCGCTCATGACGGAGTTGGTTTAAATCTGGCTGATTGAAATATTGAAAAGCAACTTATTATCGGGAGAACGACAACAATTTTACAACAGTAAAATTATAACAGCTTAAATCTTGGACCCAGTCACAGGTCTGTGCGCTCACTTCAAAGATTGAAAATGAGTCAAATCTGGAGCAAGTAGAATGATCTGGGTACCAGCTGCCGAACACAGACTCCATCATTCGAATCGGCAATTTCAATACACATGTTGGAGAAGACATTGAAAAGTCAAAGACCGCAATTAGAAATAACCGTCATCGAAACCTCAACAATGACGACATAAAACTGTTGCAGATTTTTGCAACCTGTAGACTATCTATTGTGAACATCTTCTTCCAGCATCGAAACTTGCGTCAGCATATCTGGTATGGGAAACCTGAGCACAGAAGTCGATGATTGATTTGATAATCGTTTCGTCTGACTTACAACGCCCTATAATGGATGTTGGATGGATGTTCGTGTTAAGAGAGGCGCAGAGCTGTCATCCGAGCATTACATTGTTGCTGCAACAATCCGCTATGAATGATGGAGTACAATGCAAAGACCCGAAAGGCAGAGGAAACGAGAGAATCAAATAGGAAACATTATCTTCTGCTGATCAAAGGGCGAAACAATATTGCATGACGATCAAAGTAGCTCTCGACGATGATGACTGAAGTGAAAACCGAGTGGAAGCTCTTTAAGAGCGACTTACTGGAAGTTACCGTCGAATGCTGCTGTCTAACAGTGATTGGCCTGCAACAATGCGGCTAGAAACTAATATCCGCGTTGAACCAAACGTTCATGTGGTAGTCACCGAGAAGAAAGCTTCATTTAGAGTGGCTTGGAAACGAACAGTTCTTTCATTCAAGTGGGCAGCGATGAATGATACAACGCGACAGCCAAAAGCACTGACAACAGCGAAAGTGTAAACGTTCGGCGAGCTGCTGAAATTCAATTTCCAGATGGCAACAGGGCATTCTGTCGAAACATCTGCCGCGTATAAGATGAAAATAAGGCACTTCGAGGGTCTTGAAAGACAAGTTCGGAGGTCATAGTACTGAGGGAGTGGAAATACTTCGAGGATGGATAAAGTACTTTCAGTCCAAGGGTCCTGAAAGATAAGTCCGGAGGTCGTAGTACTGAGGGAGTGGAGATAATCCGAGGATGGCTAAAATACTTTCAGGAACTCTGAGACTCCGAGATACCGCAAGAAGATGCGCCTCTGGTTCAAGGGGCAATGGATATAAATATTTCAGTAAATGACGTCATCGACAAAATTCGCCTTGAAACGCTTAAAGATGAAGCCTGTGGCTAATACGTTTCTGTCAAACTGAAACGGTTACGGCTAGAAGAGTTATGACATTGTAATATCTCCTTTGAAGAAATAATGTTCCAACAATCGGGAAATATTCTATTGAGCTTCCCAGAAATAATCTACGCAAAGGTGTCAGAACAGAGGTCATGCTGAACAACTGACTCTAACATGCTCAAAGAAAAATAGTGTGGCTTCAGGTTAGTTCGAAACGTCTCCGACTCAATATTCGCCTAATGCCAAATTATTGAGAATCGTGGGAGTTAACTCGAAAGGTTAACATATGAATAGTTAACTTATGATTGGATCCAACACTAAAGGCCATGAGCGTGAATTCAAACATACGAGATCGATGGAATATTGCTACGGAGAATTGCTGTCATTAAATATTGATGGCAAGAGCTGCATAAGAACAAGTTGCCGTTAATCAGAGGAATTTTAGCATTGACACTATTCGTCACGGTTTCGCTATGCCCCTCGCCTGTCTGTGCCTTATAAGGATAGTATAATGAAGGGTAGCTAGATATGTATAGGATAGGGTGATGTGTGTATCAACGTATGAGATTTTTCAGCAAGAAAAATGCTGTTTGTAGGCGACCTTGCTCGGTTGAAATCTTCTAAAATTGATCTCCTGAAAAGTTCGCAGCCGAATGCGATGTGGCCGGCATGCATGTGAACACGTCTGAAACCAAAAGCCCAAATCTTTCTCGTTACGCACTCAAGAAAAACGGAGAAGCAGCGGAGCAGATACAGAACGTCACCTATATTGGGTTCGTGTTTCCTGGTGACATAAAATGAGAGGAAGAGATTAAAAGACAAATGAAAAGTGTCAGAGGCGCTCTGCGTGAATTAACTTCAGTCGCTGTTATTAAGTCAGAGCTGGGTCAGAAGTCGAAGCTCTGACTGTTCCACTACATCTTCATCCGCATGATCACATATGGTCATGAGTCGTGTGCAATAACGGAAAAACCCCCATCTTGCGTACAAACCGCCGAGATGTACATTTCTGCGCGCACTTGCCCTGACATAGTCCGCAGCATTGATATATGAGACTTTATACAGCCTCTGCTTCATCGCTGGCTCGCCGCTGCAATAGCCTTGCATTTAATGTGGATGTTTTAAGAAAGTAAAAATGGACAACTGCTTAGCCAAAATACACAAACCGAAGATTCCGCTGATAAAACAACCTGGGAGGGTCTATGCTGTAGACTCTACCTTCTGCTTTACTTTGTTTTATCCTTTTGCAGCTTTAATGATCGCAATGAATGGGAAACTCAACGTCTGACGCATCTGCCCCCCGCAATCAAAAGAATATACATGCATCGTAACGTGAATGACTCGCTAATTGAACAACGGGTTTATGTACAACCGTGGTTTTCAAGGACAAGGAAAACACTCCAAATCAGAGATTTTAAGATTATATAGCTGAGCAAGAACCTATGAAGCTCTGACATAAGTGATGGTCGTAAGTGAGAAATAAGGCTCTATTTTTCATCAGTATTGCAGCACTATTTGTAATATACCTAACCAAACTTGGGAACCTCCATTTGATTATGGCGTTTTCTGCGAAATTGCTGTGTGGCAAATGGAGCAAATTAAATTTAACTTCGTAACGAGTAACTTTGCAAATATGTTGAAAACTGTAAATTTACTGAAGTTTATTAGGTGATTTCCGCAGATAGCTCAAAATGTGACACTTTTGCTCGTATGGTAGGGCAAGTAGTGAGTTGTCCTTGCTTAGAAAGATTTATGGGCAATATTTCAATGTCTGAATACATTGCTTGCGACTATACGTTTTACAGGAAAAAATATGATAAAAGTCGTTTCGTCTTCTTCTTCTACTGACACAGAAAGTTATGGTTTCAGATAATATGAAAACGTATTCGAAATTATGGTACATTTCTTTATGTACAAGCAAAGCCAACACGTGCATGCATAATTAAATTTACCTGCTGATCAAACATTATCGTACTGGTGAATTTACCGTGCGAGTCCGTTACCAGTGGCTGTGATTTTACCTTGGCGATTTGCGAATTGATCATGAATGCTTTTGATTTCGCTGAAATTTGCTTGCTCTCGTTCATACGTTGAAGGCATCTAAATTTTACAGCAGTTTTCATGGAGAAGTTGCGAGGTGAGGATGATATGGAGAAGGACAGCGGTACATCTGTGGACGCGGTAGACGAACGCGAAACGCTCGAGGAGACCGATGGCGATGAGTCCCCGAAAGAGGTGGTCATCGGCAGTACAGCAACCTTGAATGCCACCGTTCAAGCCAGGGGTGTATCTGCGCAAGGCGAAGACAGTAGC